TGGAGATGCTTGATTAAGTTGGTTGTGTTGTAGCTTGAAGCTTTACTTCCGCCCCTTGGAACAATCACTGCGCATGTATTGCACGTAGCCGTCGGATGTGTTGGGTGAGGTAAAGTAAAAAAGCTCCAGATAGCTGATCCTTTCGTTCGCTCCATTTTGAAAACGGCACGTGCCACTGCACTGCGTGTCGCTGGCGCATGACGTCACATCACTCGCAGACCTTAGCATAGAAATAAACTGTATAAATAAACTGTATAGACCTGCCCCTATGGATCGGGTCCATTGGCACGATACCCGATATAGAAGTTTTTAAATATCGGGACCGATGCCGATACTGGTATCGGATCCAGCGATTTCACCCGAAAGAGCACGCGGAATTTGTTGAACGGAGTCAACAAAAAGGAGACGGCATGAGGCAACTGACTTTGAAGGAGATGAAGGAAAGAGGTGAAAAGTTTCCACCCAATAGTGTGCAGGCAACAAAAATCACAGTGTGGACACTAAACTTTATTGTCATGGATGGACAGCCGCTCTCAGTTGTCTGAGATAAAGGATTCCAGCTGATACCGATACCGGTAACGGATCGGTGCATCTCTAGTGAGGACCCACTGTTTATTATGGGGACAAAAGCCTGGACCACACCACGAGGTAAATAAAGTTTAGACTAGATTTAGGATCAGATGGGCTTTAGAAAATCCTGGTAAAAGAATGAAAGTCAATGCAAAGTCCCCATAAGGATAGAAGAGTGTGTGTGGGACAGTGAGGAGACAGCAGAGCGCTGCGGGGAGGAAGTTCGGATTTTTTTTAGCATGAGTTGCGGCTGGAGCAGCTTCTGTTGGCATTTTTGAGAGTTTTGCTACTTTGTCTCTCCCCCCTCCGTGCGTCTTCTGAACTGAGTCAGGTTTATACGGTACGGGTTTTCATTTAAAACAGTCCGAATCAAACGCCTACATTACACATAGCTGGAATTTACTGTACGCGGGAATTTAATGCATTACAAGAATTCCGGACGGACGGACAGAAAAAAAAATCAGCTTCCAAAGCTGTCGCACCAGTGCTACGTCTTTTTCATTTATAGCACAGACAGTTTTTTTCATAGCACATGCGACATACACTCACCGGCCACTTTATTAGGTACACCACGCTAGTAACGGGTTGGACCCCCTTTTGCCTTCAGAACTGCCTCAATTCTTCGTGGCATAG